TTGAAAAGAGAGAAAGAAAAAAATCATATTGGTTAGAGGAAACAGAGTAAAGTATCAGGCAGGTAAGAGAGAATGTGGCATTTTCATGGGATGGCAGGTTATTCAACATGTCTGGGTGCACATAGAGAAGTCTAAGATGAGATGGAGTCTTTGATGATAAGATCAGCTATACAGCTTAAGACTTCTTTTTAAAAAATGTTTATTCTTAAGCTTTAGGTGGACACAATATCTTTATTTTACATTTATGTGGTGCTGAGGATCGAACACAGTGCCTTGTGCATGCTAGGCGAGCGCTCTACCACTGAGCCACAACCCCAGCCCTTTAAGACTTCTTTAATATGAACTTTATTTTGTTGTGCTGGGGATTGAACCCAGGGCTTTGTGCATGTTAGGCAAGTGCTCCATCACTGAACTACATCCCTACAAATTTCTTGATTTATATATTGGTTGTGTTTTCATAGCTAAATGATGAGTCCTTGAGCACAGGGATTTATGTTTTTAAATTTATATTAATTTTTAAAAATTGCTTTATATTAAAAATTTCCACAATGTTGTTGTCAACATTCATGTGCAAACTTTTGAGTAATTTTTGTTTTCATTTCTTATTCTTTTGTCTTTCTGTCTCTCTTTTTTAGGTCCTAGGGATTAAACCCAGGGGTACTTTACCACTGAGCTACATCTCTAGCCCTTTAAAAATTTTTAAAAAAAATTTTTGAGACAGGATCTCGCTAAGATGCTTAGGACTTTTCAAAGTCACTGAGTCTGATCTCGAACTTGCAATCCTCCTGTCTTCAGCCTCCCAACTCACTGGGAGGTGTACTACCATATTTGATTACTTTTTTGATATGGTCAACCTAGTGAATGTAAAGAGGTATTCCTGTCATTTTAATTTGCATTTCCCCAATAACCTAATCTAAATAAACTTATAATTTACATTTCTTCAATTCACAGCCTGTATTTTCCATGCATATCCATACTAAGTTTTGAAGTCTTAGAAAATCATGACCTCCTTACCACAGAGGCCTTCATGATTTCCCAGATCAGGCTCAGTCTATATGAGGTGTATAGAATAAAACCTTATTGTTGGGCCTCCCAGCTACTTGGGAGAACGAGGCAGGAGGATTTTGAGTTCAAAGCCAGCCTCAGCAAAAACAAGGTGCTAAGCAACTCAGTGAGACCCTGTCTCAAAATAAAATACAAAATAGAATTGGGGATGTGGCTCAGTGGGCAAGTGCCCCTCAGTTGTTCAATCACAGGTACCAAAAAAAAAAAAAAAAAGATAGGTTCTCCCTAAGTTACCCAGGCTGGCTTTAAATTTGTGATCCTCCTGCTTCGGCCTCCTGAGTCTCTGGGATTACAGAGTGAGCCACTGCACCTGGCTCTTCATTCTAGTTTAGTATGTGTCCGGCCAAGGTGAGAATGCCTTAGGTCTTCAGAAAATAAGATAACCATGTCTGAATGCTCCAAAGATTTGTGGGTTATATTACTGTGAACTAAGGAGACAAACGGCTTTTGAGCTCAGGGAAGAATTGAGCTGTTAAGTGCTGAGCTAAGAGAAAAGAAAATTAACTTGTCAAACCCTTCCTTTCAGATAGTATAGATTCTTGCATGACCTGTTATTTACCATTAGTGCTGAGGGTCCATTTTCTTGCTTCATTTTGAGTTCCAATTTCTAGGTCTAGAGATAAACATGAATTACTATGATGTTCACAACACTGCATGATGGTTGAGGGACATTTCGTAGTATTAAATAATTTATATTCTTTTCTTTTCTTTCTTTCTTTTTTCTTTTGGTACTGGGTATTGAACCCAGAGGCATTTTACTACATCCCTAGTCCTTTATTTATTTTTATTTAGAGATAGGTTCTTCCTAAGTTGTTTAGGGCCTTGCTAAGTTGCTGAAGCTGGTCTCAAACTCCCGATCCTCCTGTCTCTGTGTCCTGAGTCACAGGGATTACAGATGTGCACCACTGCATCCAGCTTCTTATTCTTCTTTTGCTTTAAATTGTCAAAAATATTTAATGAGCCAGGCCCACTGGCCCAGTGGCTTAAAAGGTTAAGGCAGGAGGATCGCAAGTTCAAAAGCAGCCTCAGCAACTTAGTGAGGCACTAACCAACTCAGTGAGACTCTCTCTTTAAATATAATATAAAAAGGGCTGGGATATGACTCAGTGGTTAAGCACCTCTGGGTTTAATCCCCAGTACCAAAACAAAACACCCCCCTACCCCCACCATCAAATTTAATGAAATGTTCAGCTCTTGGATAAGAACTTTTGTCTCTTCTGAAAGAAAAAATACCAATGGCCATGTTTTTAACAACCTAGTTACTAATCAAGGAACTCTAGTCCGTCTTTACTCTCTCCTTTTCCCATTCTCTCTGCTTATGAGTATTTTGATTTACTTCCCATCTTGGGTAGTTGAGGTGTAAGAGAGTTGAACCAAGTCCTTTGGTGGGTGTAGGGGATGTGTAAGGAAAGCTGCTGGAGCTTTTCTCTGTCATATAAAGACCAGGTTTCTTTTTCTTTTCTTTCTTTTTTTTTGTAAAAGCTAGGTCTGCTAGCAAGTTTGTTGCACCAAAACTACTATCTCTGTTTTCTGTGGTGAAAACTTGTGAAAAACCTCTGTCTAGTCTAAGAAAATGGAAAAAAAAAAATTCCTGCCTGCCATGTAACCACTCACTGTTATATAAATCCGCCCCCCCCCCCCCCCCCCCCCCCCCCCCCCCCCCCCCGCGTTAAGTTAAAGAATTTCCAGACTCTGAGGTCCAGAGATTTTTAGTCCCCTCCAGACTGTGGCAACTAAAATAAAACTGCTTCCTGAAAGTTCCTTGGGTGTCCAGCCTCACCTGTCCTACATCACCATCCTGCCCTGAGACCTTGAGGCTCAGGCCAGCATTTTGAGCCATTCTCTTCAGAAGCACCCAGGGGCCACTGGGCTGGAATATGTGCTCCTAGAGCTTGGATTCAGAGCAGTTCCCTCTCAAGGGCCTTCCTTCCCACTAGAGGGGTTGGAAAACTATCCTTTATAAAGTTGGAAGAAGTGATGAGGCTGGATGGCAACGGAGTTCTGTCTTCATTCTTCTTCCAGGTACTCTGTGGATCATTAGAGACATGGCTTCCCCAAACTCAAAGGAGGGAGAAGAGCTGAGCCTAGAAGCCAGAGGTGGGGGGTAAGAAATGCAGATAAAGGGACAGGTGTGAATGAGAGGTCAGTCAGGAAAACCTGGAGCTAGAGCTTAGAATTAAATGCACCAAAATAGGCTTTTTCCTTGACTGTTCCCTGAATCCCAATGAAGGAGCCAAGTGCCACAGGTTCTTGGGGTAGGCAGCATGGTGAAATCAAAGAATCACTGAATTTGGGGGGTCTTGATCTGCATTTTAATTCTGGAACTGCCCCTTAAGAACCATGTCATCTTGGGCAAATGACTCCTCACAACTATTAGCACAGATTTTGGGTTCAGAAAGACTCTGGTCCTAATACCTGCATGACCTTGGATCACCTTGAAGTTACTTAACTGTGGAGTCTTAGTAAAAAGGGCAATAACATCTCAGAGTTGTATTATTTTCTGTTTCCAAGAACAAAATACCACAGACTGGATGAGTTCTAAAGAAAGGAGGTTTATTTTGACTCAAGGTTCTGGAGTTCAAGAGTGAGTGGGACAAGGGAGGGTATGAGTTAGTTGGCTCTCTGCTGAGGACCTTCTTGTTGGCAGAGTACAGAGATGGAGCCCACAAAGGCATTTTTCCATACCTTCTGGTCTCTTTCTTTTTAAACGAGGTGCCATGTGATATTTCGATACATATGTACATGTGTAATGTTTAAATCAGGATAAACATATTGATCTCCTCAAATCCCAAAAAGCCACCAGTAAAACAATCATGGGACTCCACTCTGATGACTTTCATCCTAATCACCTTCTAAGGTCCCCACCTTTAAAGACCAGAGTCTGATTAATTTTCCACTCTCTTAATACCATTCGCATGTGATTTTGGGGATTACGTTTCCAACACATGAAGAATGAGGAGACACTCAAGCCACAGCAGTGGTTGTGAGGATTAAACAAAAGAAGCCATGGGAAGTAGATTCCCTTGGTGACTTGGGATCTTGGGGGAACAGTGAGCTTGGAACCAGGCCATGTTGGTTTGAGCTGATTGCCCCCAGCTCGATGTGTAACCACTCTGAAGATCAATTTGTCCCCTGTGAGAGGGGTAGCATTACCTTCTTCCTGGGGTTCTTGTGGGGCTCTGCAGAGATAATTGAGGTCCATGGAACTACTTTGTATAGCTCTGCACAAATGTGAAGGATTATTTTTGTTCTTCAGTTTGCCCTCTAACAAAGGCTGAATAAGTACTGAATTGGCCAAAAAAAGGGAGGGCTAGGGAAGGAATGTGAATCTTAGCAGGAGCAGCAAAAAAGCCGGAATAATCCCCACTTGTGTTTCTAACACTAACAATTAAGACCAAGCTCCAAGGAGCAGCTTACATCCACGGAAGGGAGGTAAGGAGTTGGGGGTGGGGGGCACTCAGCGGGTTACGAGGAGAGGGCAAAGGAACCCATTGCAATCAAACCCCAGGAAAAGCAAGGAAGGTCCTTGCCTGGTGAGGGAAAAAGAGAGGGAGTCTCTCAAGTCCCAGTTCTCTGTGTCTCCCTCTGTGACCCTGACTCCCTTGTGATCCACAAAGCACAGCTCCTGGACTTGAGCCAAGAAATGCTCTTTCCAATGCCCCCCACCTGGCAGCTACTGAGCAGATTCAAATATGCTCAGGAATGGAGTCCAGGAAAAAAAAAAAAAAGACAGGAGCTTTGCTGTCACCTAATGGAGACTATCTTGTGCCTCTTTGTACCCCACTGGCCCAGGGCAGAGCCCCTCAAACCAGTCTCCCCCTCCTCCTCCTTCCTCATGCCCTCCACTTCCCCTTGATCAGTCTGAACCAGACCAGGCCAGGGCCAAGGTCTGCCGGTACTAAGATCCACTGAGAGGCTGGGTCATGAGTGCCCTTCCCTGGGAAGCTTAGCCCATAGATGTGCCAGGGAAATGTTTCTACAGATTAGTGCCTCCTGGGGTGGGACAGCAGCAGCAGGTGGCAAGAACAGGGCAGGGGAGGGAGCAAAGCCCAGAGAGCCCTTGGGAGGAACCCAAGGACAGAAGCTTTCTTCTCCAGGGCCCAGCCTTCAGAGACAGGAGGTGTGGGGTCCCCCAGAGTCCTCACCTCAGGTTTACCCCTCAGTGTTCAGTTGGTGCTGCACAGATCTTTTTATTTGATCATTAGTGGCAATTATGGTAGCATCAGTTTGACTAAGTCCTGTTCCAGATGTAGAATAAATCGGAGAGTAGAGGGAGAGATGCAGAGGCAAAAGAGGAGAGACGAAGAGGCAGCTTGTGAGTTCGAGAAGAGAGAGAATGACAGGGGAAAGGAGGTTCTGGCAAGAAGAGATACATCATGAGCTTTGGAGAAGGCAGTCCAGGAAAAGTACCCTAGATGTTCACTTCTATCAGGTAAAACCGGGTGGAGATTTTTCAAACTGGTATTAGTTAAATCAGGCCTGGAGGTAGAGCAGTCAAATAACCAGCAGAAATCAGAGGGGTCCCGTCCCTTCCAAGATAGGAGGGACAAGAAGGCAGTAAATGCCAGTCCGCTTATGGATGCAAATGTTGGGAGGAAAAGAAAAGCCAGATTTCTGCTGACCTTCCCTTACTCCTGGCCCTGTCTTCAGTGAGTTGTGGTGAGGAGTGGGTGAGATGAGCCATGTATTACAATGTGGTTTTGACCACAACTCTCATCAACCTTGGCTTTGTCTAGGCCCTTAGTTTTGTGTGGGCCCCATGTAAGGCACCCCTACCCCTGCTGGCTCCTCGACTTCACAGTTCATGCAGGTGAGGAACGGGCTTCCTGTCAGTGTCAGAATTCTGGATCAACTCAAAGATGAATTTCACCTGAGTCTGGTAGCCTTGGACAGAGATTTTCTCATTGATTCCATGGATGCTGAGGGAAAGACAGATGCATTGTGGGAGAAGGGAAGAGCCCATAAGTAGCACAGGTGGCATTACATAGCACTGTCCCCACCTGTCTCCCCTTCCCCTGATACTGCTGGCCTTTGACCCTTGGGGATGGAGAAGCCATTTGTGAGGTTTCATTTGACCAGTTGGTCATCTCTCAAGGGGGCAGAGATAATGAACCAAAGCCTGGGAGTTTAAATCTTTTTCTGCTCTGAGGTCTATTCAGTAACTTCCCTTTCAGGGGAACTGTCTTTCTAATTCTTTTTCTCTTAGAACAGAGTCCCCAGCTAGACTTTTCTCTGAGCCTACCCCCATCCCCATCCTTCAGCTTACTAAGGACAAGGAAGTGTATGGAGGGCAACACCCAGGGCACCTGTTGGGTTCTCTGCTTCACCTATGAACCTTGCTCTCAGATTGCATGCCCACCAACCTGCCTCCCACCAATACAACCCAACAAATGACAAAGTACACTTGTAACCTCAAAGATGGCCGAAAAGAGAGTAGTTCTCAGCCCTCCCCGCTTGGTTTAAAAAACAAAAACATAAAAGCTACTCTTAAGTTCATACTTAAATACTTTCACTCCATTTCTAGGTGATGTATGGTGGTGAAATCTGATCTAGATGTGATAAGTAGCAGAGCTCAGTGGAAATTATCCTCCCACACCCCAAGGTTCAGAATTTGCTGAAGAACTCACAAAATAGCAGATCACACATGCCTACAGTTGACCTCATGTGTGTTTGCTTTCTCAGAGAAATACTATGGAAATTCAAGATAGGAACACTAGTTTTTGTAGGTAGAGAAAATGAGGTCCAGGAGATTAGCATACTCTCAAAGGGAGGAAGAGCACCCAAAGATCCCAATTCCACCAGGTTCTTGCCTGATTATCTCCATTCTATTTTTAAAAAAATTTTTTTGTAATTGTAGATGGACAGAATGCCTTTATTTTATTTGTTTATTTTTATGTGATGCTGAGGATCAAACCCAGTGCCTCACACATGCTAGGCAAGCGCTCTGCCACTGAGCTACAGCCTCAGCCCTCCATTCTTTTTATTTTATTTTGTGGCACTAGGGATTGAACCCTGGGCATTTTATCACTGAGCTTAACTTTTAAGATGGGGTCTTGCTAAGTTGCTGAGGCTGGTCTTGAACTTGTGACCCTCTTGACTCAGCCTCCTGAATCACTGGGATTACAGGCATGTGCCACTTTGTCTGTCTCTCCATCCTTTGAAAAGAGGGGCAATTCCTACAAATTCTGGGCAGTGGCAAGATGAACAATGAGGACAGTTGGCTTCTAAGATGTCTCCATTTTAATTTGCTACACCCTGGCTTCCTCCATTCTGTGGTCTGTCTGCTTGGGAAGGTACAGGTCACATGTGTCTCCTGTGTCCCCACTGTGGCTCAAACCTGTTCCACTCACCTTCTGAAGTCCTGAGGCTGAAGGTAGACAGGGTTGAACAGATAGATGCCAGTGGTGAGGCTGGTGTAGTGTCGGCTGTCTGTGTTGCCAATACAAGTACCTAGAAAGGGAAGAAGAAGAGGGCTTTCCATGAGAAACCAAGCCAGAAAGTGGCAGCAGGTGGGCTGGCTAGAAAATTAGGACCCCTTGGTCACTATAGAACAATGGCTAGGCTCACTTATGAGCTATGCCTATGTTTGTTTTGTCCTACAAGCTGCCCTTTTTCAAAACATCAGGAAGCATCATTTCAGCCAGGAACTCGGAATCCTGAAGGCATTGGTGAGATACCCTTAGAATGGTCTGAGGCTAAATGCCCTCTTTCCTTGATGACCAGGGAGGCTAATATCTTTATCTCATACCCACAGCCATGGTCATTTGCTATTTTAGAAACCATAAATGTAGCTAGGCATGGTGGCACACACGTGTAATTCTAGCAACTTGGGAGGCTGAGGCAGAGAATTGCTAGTTCAAGGGCAACCTCAGCAATTTAGTGAGTCTTTAATAACTTCGAGTTACCCTGTCTCAAAATAAAAAATAAAAAGGGCGGGGATGTGGCTCATTGGTGAAGCACCCCTGGATTCAGTTCCCAGTACAAAAAAGAAACCATAAATCTTCTTTATCACCTGGTCTATATTCTGTATCCTAGGTCAGAAATTAACACCCTTTGGGGAATTGTACTGCTATGAAATCCAGTCCTCTCTTAGTGGAACATGATTTCCTGTCATTCTCATCCTTTGGGTGATGATTCTGCTTTAGAGTCAAACCTCAGGTTTGGAAAGTTCCAGAATGTTCTCTTCTCAGTCTCCTACTTTCCTGAGGGCAGAGGAGTAGGTCACTCATCAAGGACTGGGATTTATCCCTGAAAGGCACCTTCTTTGGGAAAAGACACCCTGGAGCATCAATTCAAGTGCAGTGGGGGTGATTTGAAATGGTAATTTGTATTTTGTTCTAATTTCTTCTTCTGGTTTCAAATGTAGCTTCATGTGTGGGAGTTTCTGCCAGATGATCTCTGCCCATCTTTTTTTCCTATAACAGCTTCATCACTGTGATGAGATGACTGTAAATGTCCCGAAAGGTAAAAAGTAGGATTAGGGAGACTTTGAAGGTCAAGAGGGGACGGACCATGTGAGGCTGTGAGGGCCAGGGCTCCTAGATGTTAGGAGAAATCTATAATTAAACCCAGATGGAGGGAAAGTGGACAGAGGCCTTTACACCAGAACATCTCTTCCTACACTGTAGACAAGAGATTCTTACACTGGTCAGTCGCCACTCATATCAGAATCCCCTGGGAGTATTTGGCAAAAAGGCAGGTTCCAGAGTCCTATCCGGATCTGGCTAACTGGAATCTCCAAGAGTGGGTTCAGATGGTCTGCATTTTTAAGATGTTCTCTAGGTGATCCTCTTCCACTCTCATTTTGAAGAACCATTGTCATAGACAGATTTGGATGATATGCTAGAAGACTGGGGGCTGGGGATGGTCCAAGAGGTTTCTCTGGGCTGATGACTGAACCCTGCTGCTGAGCTGTTATCCTAAAGTGAATTGGAATCAGAATCTGGAGGAATCTTGCTCCTCTGTGGCTTCTCCAGAGGGGGAGAATTTTCAGCCAATCCTCCTTTCTCTGTCAGAGGGGCACAGGTCTTTGCTAGACTAGGTTAAGTAAGGACCCAGGCTTGACTGATTTAGTTTATTGTTTCTGCTCCTTTCCTGTTTGCTTTCTCACTTCCACCCCAAGGGGAAAATACAGTTCCAGTCCCATCAGGAGGGGAAGCAGCCAGCTGTTTCCAGGATGAACAGCTGGGGTGGGGGTGGGGCAGTGGACATTGGATAGGAAACAGTTCCAGCCCCTCTCCTCTCTCCAACCACAGCTGATGAAGTCATTACCTGGAGTAACAATATTGACTTCTGGGAAGACAGACTGTATGGTCTGGTGGAGCATCTGGTAGCCCAAGGCCTGGTCATCAATGGGGCTGATGGGTAGGGGGTCAAAGGCTCTCAACACGTGGAACTGGACTCGGTCATCAGCCACAATGTTCTTGATGAGTTCCAGGACCTCCATGGTGGGAACAAAGAGGGTTAGGTTTGTTACTGAACTGCAAGTACCATATGAATTTAAATGGTCCTGATTTCTCTCCAGCAGAGCCCTGGGGTTTACAGAAAAGACACTTTTTTTTTTTGTTATTGGTACTGGAGATTTAACCCAGGAGTGCTCTACCACTGAGCTACATCCCCAGCTCTTTTCATTTTGAACATGTCTCCATAAGTTGCCTACGCCGGCTTTGAACTTGTGATCATCCTGTCTCAGCCTCCTGAGTCACTAGGACCTCAATTTCAACTGACTGGCTGTAGGTGATGTAAGAACTGGCCCTTTCTGGAAAGCAATCTATAGCATGGTAGATTTTGGCTAAATATTTGGGAGGCTTGTCTTATAGCTGTGAGTCGGGTGGGGAAATTTCCCCTTAGGTCATGAGCCACAGACTGGGTGAAAGTGTAAAAGAGTCTTTAGAATAGGAATCTCAACAGCAAAGAGTATGATCCTGCTTCAACTAGAGTCCCAGTGATGAAAGGCCATACATTTTTCCTTCCCCTCTCTGGGCATCCCTGCTTCCTGTTTGTAACCAACTGCATTGCAGCCAGGAAGATGAGCTCAACACAGACAAAAGCTAGGAGTTGGGATGCTTGTATTCAAGTCTTCTCTCTTTGCCTCCTTTCCTCAGGAAGGAACCTGAAGAAACTCCTGAAAATTCAGCCTGAAATGACTAGAAGCAATCAGCAAAAATCCCTGATCCCAGGAAGGATACAGACCAGACCCTGATTCTCCCAGTGGCCTCAGTTCTACTCGTTGAGGGCCATTCAGAATAAATCTACCTTTCCACGTGGTAACCTGTTAAACTTTTGAAGACTCTTGCTCCTTACAGAGAAGTGTTGGAGCTGATCAACATCTAGAACATGGGAGATACCAGTGGAAGATGGAGAAGGAGGACTCTTGGGGCTGCCTGTGTTTCCACCAGGTCTACTCGAAGCTCTGTGCATGCAGCCTTAGGCCATGTTCCTGACCCATAAAGCTGGGGCACTAGGGTCATGGCAGTGACCATGATGAATGGGCTCTGTGAGCTTTGATGGATGGAAGATTTCCATTCCTCGGTGGGCAGGTGGGCAGGTGGGCAGGGTGGGCCTGGGGATCCCAGGGGTTTCATCAGATAGGCTGGGAAGAGAGGCCTCTGTGGTGGGGAAGAGAGGAGGGAAGAGTGCCACGACCTAGGGAGATGAAAGCCCTGCTGGGTGGAAAACAGCCCTTGCAAAGGGCATGGAGTTGGAATGAGGCTGGAAAAAAACTGGTGGAAAGAAGCTCAATGAGGGGAATGCAGTGATTTCCTGGCCCTATGAGCCCCTAGGGAATGGACAATGGTTGGCACCTGATGAAAAGCGGCATAGTCAGGGCTCACCCCTCACCCAGTGCTAGAGGACTCAGGGCAGGCCACTGACCCACTCCCCAATCTACAAAGAGGAGTGTGCTTCCCTCCCTGTGTGAGGACGGATGAAATCCCCAAGGGGAATAATTTAGGAGAAAGGATCACAGAATTTACCCTCATAATGTGTGTCAGGGACCTGTCCCTAACTCATCTGATAATTGTTGGTTGCCTTTTAGATTAATTTGCTGTTGTTGTTGTTTTGCAGTGCTGGGGATCAAACCCAGGGCCTTACGCATGTTAGGCAAGTGTCTACCACTGAGTTACACCCCCAGCCCGTTTTTGGTTCATTTTTGAAGGGTCAGATTAACCTTTTGAATTCTTTTTAGCCCAACCAGAAAGCTGGCATTTCTTACAGATATCAAACATTTTGTGTAACTTCTGCTCACCCTGAAGCTTTCAGCTCAGATGTCATTCTCTCAGGGAAGACTTGTCTGACCCCACAGAAGGTCTGGTTCCTGAAATATTTTCCAATAGCACCAGGTTTCTTTGTCCTGATACTCATCACTGCCTAGCAGGTTCCAATTATGTTAATAACACTCCAGTTTGTACCTCTGGTTCATGTCTCTCTCCAGACCTGCAGTATTTATAATTGCCTGTTACTATGTTATACACATCTTAAACTTCAAAGCTGTTGTATTTCTCATTGAACTTGCTCTTCTTCCTGAGTTTACAATCTTGATCAAAGGAATGAGTGCCTGCCTGGTCAACTACCCAGGTTAAAGACTTTGCGTTTCAGTACACATCCATATATAAAACCCTATCCCGTTGGACCTTTCTCTCTTGAAGTGAATGCTCCTTCTTTTACCCTGTGATCTTGGCCTCGGTTTTGAACATGCACTGCCTGAGACATTGCAGAAGCTTCTTTCTCTACTTCAGCATGTCCTCTGCATTGCCACCAACATTATCTCCCTCACAGCAAATCTATCCTGGTGCTTTCTGAAGATTTCTGAAAGTTCCCTCCTGTCCACAGATTAGAGTTCAAGTCCTCAGCATGGCACACAAGGCTCCATCTCCAAGCTACAAATCCATCTTCTACCAATCTTTTATCTCCTACTACTCTCTCCCAGTTTATCCTCTTTAGTAACAACGAATGTCTTACTTCTAGAAAAGTCCTGGTGATCCTTTAAGGCCCCTACTCATTTCTAGAGGTCAGAAAAGATTTTTGTTGACCCTCCATGGTAGCATCAGTCTCCCTTGCAATGGTCCTATGGTAATTTGTTCATCCCTAATTGTTATAATCATAGTGTTGAGCTGTGGTTAGAACATTCTGGAACTGAACTGCTAGATGTGCACTTGTTGACTATACTGCTTAGCTGCTGCATTGCTCTGTGTCTCAGTTCTCACCAGGCCAATGAGGATATTGCAGTTGCCACTTCACAGGGTGGCCATGAGGACCTGATGAGTGTGCACATGCATGTATAGCTCAGGAGGGTACCTGACTCAGAGCAAGCCCACTATATATATTTGCTACAATGCTCTAATTTATTTGTACTTGTCTCCTACCCCCAGACTCCAAGTTCCCCAAACCAGAGGTCTCCTATCCTAGCCACGTAGCAATAGGATGCCTTTAGAACTTGTAGATTGAACAAAGGAGAGACTGGCTCTGCCCTATGTTGTAGCTTAACCCACGCCCCACCTCCTTGATAACGAACGTGTTGTCTAGAACATATGACACGTACCTCCACAACTGTCTGTGCAGGGTGAATCCGGATGTTGACTGTGGCTTTGGCCACCGGGGGGATGACGTTCACCTAAGGAGAGAACCACAAACCCTGGCCTGAGCCAACCTCAAGTTTTCCACAACTCATCTCCGCCCAGGAAGTACCAATTACCACACGCAGGGGCAGAGGAAGCGGATTTGATATAAAGATCCTGGGTTTAATTTTCTTAGTCTGCCTTTGTCTTCTCTGGGTCCTTGACATGGGGTTATATTCAGGCCAGATCTTTATGCTTCTTGATCCTGGAGGGAGTCACAGCTGCCCAGAAAGGTTTGTTTTCTCTGTGATGACCCTGAGTTGTACCATTGGGAACCTTCTGTGAGCACTTTCTCAGGGCAACCTGGACATTTCTGTTAATGTTAGTGCTTCCTAATGGGCCTCGGTTATGGTGTGTTTGAACCCTATGGGGATTATGATGGGGGTGGGACTTTCTTGTGTCTATTTGTGAAATATGACTCTATTCTTTGTTCAAAGAGGAAGAACCCAGGACTAATGGAAGAAGGCATATTTTGGAGGGATTATTTATCCTGGAAGGCTGAGAGAGAACAGATTCTCTGACTGTATACCATTTTTTGAACAAGTATGCATAAAAACACATGGCTAGGGACAGATTAGGGTGTTACTAATTGGCCTTGTGAGCCAGGCAGGTTGGCGCAGACCTATAATCTCAACAACTCAAGAGGTTGAGGCAAGAGGATTGTGAGTTTGAGGACAGCCTGTGCAACTTAGTGAGACCCTGTCTCAAAATAAAAAATAAAAGGACTGGGGATGTAGCTCAGTGGTAGAGCACCCCTGAGTTCAATCCTCAGTACTTAAAAAAAAAATATTAGCCACCCATCACAAATTGGCTGTGTGATTTTTAATAACTATAACATCTTTGTTCCTGTTTTCTTAACTGTAGAGTGGGACAGTAATACTCCTAAGGCTCTTAGAAGGATCAAATGGAGTAATGTGAAAGCAGTGGGGGACGAAAACACCATTCAAATGCAAGGATACAGTACTGTTATTCTGGTGAACACTACAGGCAGCTGGTACAGATGGCTTGAGTCAGGTGACACACTGAACTCACCAGTCAGCTATGCCAGGACTTAATTCTGAAACACCATTCACTTATATTCAATTTGAGCTCCAGATTACAAGAACTTCTGGAGGTCACATTGTATTCTTGGGGAATGGTGTCCCCAGAAGTTGTGATGGTGGCACTAATAGTTATAGGAGTAGTCTAACTTCCTTCAAGATTTCAGAAAGGGAGCCAGTCATAGTGGTGCATTCCAGTAATCCCAGAAATTTGGGAGGCTGAGGCAGGACGATCATAAGTTCAAAGCCAGCCTCATCCACTTAGCAAGGCCCTCAGCAACTCAGCAATACCCTGTCTCAAGAGAAAAAAATAAAAAGGATGTAGCTCAGTGGTTACGTGCCCCTGGGTTCAATCCCCAGTATAAAAAAAAAGAAAAAAAAGATTTCAGAAAGGTCTATTTGTGTGGCTAGGCTTGGTTCTTTTAACAGAGATGACTCTTTAAAAAAAAAAAAAAAAAAAAATATATATATATATATATATATATATATATATTTAGTTGTAGATGGAAACAATATCTTTATTTTATTTATTTATTTTGATGCTGAGGATTGAACCCAGTGCCTCATACATGTGAGGCAAGCGCTCTACCACTGAGCTACCCTAGTCCAAGAAGATGCCTCTTAATGGACATCTGAATGGAAATAAACCAATTAGCTGAAAAATAATTTTGGAATAAAAATTTATCAAAGCATTGAATCAACTAAAACTTATTTTTAGAAAAGTAAGCTTCATATAGAAATTACGAATCAGGCATGGTGACTCCTACCTGTAATCTCAGTAACTTGGGAGGCTGAGACAAGAGGATTGCAAGTTCAAGGCCAGTCTTGGCAATTAGGTAAGACCCTGTCTTAAAAATATAAAAATAAAAAACCCCAAACAAAAAACACCAAAACCCAAGAACCAAAAAGCAAAATACCAAAACCAAAACAAACAAAGGGCTAGGGATATAGCTGTGACAGGGCACCCCTGAGTTCAATCCCTGGTATACTGCCTCCCCCCCCCAAAAAAGAAAGAAATTATGTTTGCTAAGGTTGGCCAATATTTCATAGATTTTTGAGAAATGATAATATACCATGTTTTAAGTGTCGTATATCTATCACGCACATGATAGATTTTATAAATGGCAGCGAGTTTCTCTTTCAACTAAGAGTAACACCAAGAGAGAGTACATTGATTACTCATTATTAAGTGGTAAATCTTTCAAAATATAGGGAAAATTTAAAAAAGATCTTTGATGGTGGAATGCTTAGAAAACTTTAGTTGACAAGTACAAAGTGCTAGGTAAATCTAAAGCCTGTTGAATTACAGCATAAGCACAGGTCAAAGGAACCAACTCCCAAACAACCCTTCTTCACACTAGTGTAATTTTTTTTTGGCATGGGGTAGACCCAAGAGGCAGCATTCCCACTAAAATATGCACACACACACACCCCACATTTTTGTGATAAACCCAGAGGCATTCTACAACTGAGCTACATCCTCAGCCTATTTTAGTTTTTGTTTTTAGATGGGTCTTTCTAAGTTGCTGAGGCTGGCCTTGAGCTTGTGATCCTCCTGCCTCAGCCTCCTGAGTTGCTGGGGTTGGGGGCATGTGCCACTGCATCCTATTATACATATAGAACTTGGCCAACGATTTCAGAGAGTTTCTAGGCCTTGACCAGACTCCTTTCTCTTGAGGCTTACCCAACTGATGTCACAGGACAGTTCAGTAGTGGCCCTTCCTATTCAAACTGTAGTCAGAGAAGGAAGGGAAAGTCTTTAGACAAAGCTGCAGGATGGAGGCGTGAACACGCAATAAGGAGATGGTAAATGGGAAAGCCAGGCAATGTTACCTTGACCCCTGCATTATACATGGTAAGCGCCGTGGTGGTCCTGATCAGCGCATTGGTCACGTCATTTCTCTCCAATATCCTAAAACAAAAAGATTAAAGTCAGACATTAGGAAGAACTATCCAATGGGGAAAGAAAGTTCATTCACTTTTCCTGAACCTCAAAAATCTTTCAGGCTGAGAGAGACAACTCGTATGTGGATTAGACGTAGTGTCTGTGGCTGAGTTCATTAGTCAGGTTCAAGTGAATCAAGGGCAGGGGTAGGTTTGGGTGGGAGGTGCAGAGAAGGTAAGAATACTTACCTGCTTACAAGGGGCCCAAACAACCACAGGTTGCTCAAGACTATATTGGTAGGAAAGGAAAACTGAAAGGGAAAGAAGGAGGTTAGCAGGATCAGAGGGCTCCGCACCGTAGGGTCACTGTTCCTGCAGCCTGGATCTTCCTACTTCTGATCTGCTTCAGGGCCCTCAGCAATCAGAAGAGCAGCCAGTTCATTCTGCTAGAGACCCGGGCAGTTTCTACCTGGCTAGGCTTAGCTGATTGGCCAGAACGATTGCTCACCACCTTCTAGGTTGAGTGGGAACCAAGTCCAAAAGGGGACTTGGGTGCATTAATTCTCAGATATACCCTAGCAGTCCCAGGAAACAAGCCAGATCCCTCATTTTGGCTCAGCCACTGGCTGTGGTTAGATGAGAATGGGCAGAGCACTGGTTAGCACTAGGGCCCTTTTATCACTCCAAGGTGACTTCTCTGCCACCATTTCCTCTCCAGGACTGGGGAGGAGTGGTATTCTTTCCCACACCTCGCTTGCCAGTTGCTGCAATGTCGTCTTCAACAGTCCACTTTTAAACATGTTTGGCATTGGCGTCTGCTCCAGTCTGGAAGAGAAACAGAGTTCTCAAGACTTAGCAAAAATCAAAGAGGAGGGAGACAGGCAGAAGTTTTACCCAGTCTGGTCAGGAGGTCTGCTATCCATGCCCACCCTCATCACCTCCACCACCCAACCATTCTGAAGAAGTCAAGTACTCACATAAGTACCTCCACTCCACCAGCAGGAGCTTTTCCTGTCCACCAAGTCCAAGTTAGAGTCCCTTCTTACCCACCTTGCCCTGTGCCTGTCTCTGACATCCTGTCTCATAGCACCTACCACACTGCGGCAGAATTGTCCATCTCCTCTCCCAATTATGAGTTCCTTGAGGATGCGGACTGTTTTATTCCTTACTGTACACCTCTCCCCTGGCACAAAGCCTTGACCATGACAGCTATTCGTTTTGTATTTGAATGCAGGTAGTTCTCTTTCCCACTTTGCTAAGAAAACCCAGCCATATAGGTGAGTGTTATTATAGACCCTGCCGTTCTCATCCACAGCCCGACGCCCTTTATTTACCTTTGTCCTCTTGCCAGGGCAGACAGAATTTAGCCAGCTCTACTAATCATTGACGATCTGTGATTTCAGACCGCTTAGCTGGACTCTGGACTACTGAGCTGCTGGCCTAGCTTTTATCTGCTGGTCCCTGCTTGCCATAGGGCTGCACTGATGGATCCTCTTCTGAACCCAGCCCTTGCCTGGGCGCGGATAGTTCTGTCCCTCCTGTGGCCTACACCCTGGTTTCCTAGCCCAGCTTCAGGGAAGGAACTTTAGGCTCCTCAAAGCCAACGTGGAAAAATGCCAGGTCTTTATTTCCAAGTCTCACATGGGTCCAGGTCCTGGAGCTACTCACCTGCTGAGAGCGGCTGAGAGGATGCCAATGCTTGTCTCCTTTGGCGGTGCTGAAGAGTGGCCTGGAGTCATGTTCACTTGCAGCATGAGGTCAATTGCACCCTTCTCTGAGATGGAAATCCTGTGGAAGGGGATCAGAGATGGTCCTTCTGATTTCTTTTCATCATGAATGAATCCACAGGCTCACAGGCCCATCTGTATGGTCTGGTGGGCTAGGAGGAAGCTTCATACTGCTTTAAGAAATCTATGCTAGAGGCACAAAGGAAGGGCAAGGGATATAGCTCAGTTGGTAGAGTGCTTGCCTTGAAAGCACAAGGCCCTGGGTTTAATCCCCAGCACCACAAAACAAACAAACAAACAAAACCCAGCCACCCACACACAAGAGGAGCAGAGGAAGGGGAAACCCAGGACAGGTTGGAGATTAGGGTGGTAAGGCAACAGGGGTTCCAGCATGGCTTATACATACCAGACTGGGGTCACCTCAAATAGGGTGCAAACTTCTTCCAAGGTGGGGGATAGGGTGCCTTACTCACATGGCAAAGGGCTTTTGGAGATTGGGAATGAATCCATCCAAGATGAAGCCACACTCGTCCACAATGAAGGCTAGCTGGACACCCCTGGCCTGTAGCAGTGCTGACATCTTTTGAGCCCCATTTGTTCCTGACACCTGCAGACATTGAACACAGAGTCACAGTCTTTTTGGACCAGAAACAGACCTCCATAGATACAGGAGATGATTCTGTTTTATAGAATCCTGGAATGTAAGAGCTGGAGGTACCCAGTGCCCCTCATTTTCACAAATGAAGAAACTGGGACCCAGAGAGTGCAGTGATTTGTCCACAAACTGAGTGGTATTACTGGAAATAAAATACAGCCATTGATTTCCCTGTTCAGTTCTTTTTCTATTACACAAATGTTTCACAGGGAGCAGCTGATGGTCTACCTGCCTGCCTCAGATATTACCACAAAGTTTGCTAAATATTCTCTGGCATAAGGACCCAGGAACCTGAGTTTTGGTCATGGTCCTTAGATAGTTGTGGCACATAGATACACAGAGAAGTTGGCAGGCCTCTATGCCATATCACAAAGACCCTGAAAGAACACAATGGACTCAGGTGAAGTACCTGCCTCCCCCAACAGGGGCCCTAGAGATAGATTTAGGGTGAGTTGCCTCTACCTCCTCATCATGGCCCAGAGTAATGAAGAAAGATCTTCGAGGCTTGTAGTTCCTGGTCAGTAGAAGTTCCAAGGCCTGAAGGATTGCCTAGGGTTCAGAAGTACCGTGGAAGAGGAGAAAGACTTATTATCTAAGCAGGGTACCAGGGACAGCTTCTTGCATCAGTGCTGGTGGAACTAGCATCTTATAGATTCTCTTTAAAGAACAAATTTGCAGGTTCCAGGGGGCTAGTTATGGGGAAGCAGACCTCTGCATAAAACCTTCACCACCCGGAGAAAAGCACCAATTATTAGGACCCTGAAAGGGTCCTTCCTGGAGGATTATCTGCTCTAATCCCTATACACTTGAGAAGTCAAGGTCTACAGAAAGGAAGTGAGAGCCAGGCATCATGGCATACTCCTGTGATCCCAGTGATTTGGGAAGCTGAGTCAGGAGGATCACAAGCCTGAGACCAGCCTTTGCAACTTATAGAGACCCTGTCTCAGAATAAAAAATAAAAAGGGCTGGAATGTAGGTCAGTGGTAGAGCATCCCTGGGTTTAGATCCCTAGTACCATAAATAAATTAATAAATAAATAATTTTTTTAAAAAAGGAAGTGACAACTGATGGCTGGAACCCAGTTCTCCTGGAACCAGGAGTTTTTCTACCATCACCTTCTTCCTCCCAGAAGTCAGCCAAACACTCCATTCCCAGATTGATCTTTAGGGACCCCAAGGCAGAGAAAATAGCATTTCAGACCATCACAGAGTTCTTGTTGTCCAGTGTCCCCCGACCATGGATGAAGCCATCACGCTCAAGCCCTGAGAAGGGGGGCACCTCCCAGCCCTCTTCATGGGCAGGCACCACATCAAAGTGAGCCATCAGCATGTAGGGCTGCAGGCTGGACTCTGAGCCTTGGATAGTAAACAAGTGGCTGTAGTTTCCCACAACTTCATGCCGGATAAAGCTGGTGTTGAATACTGCAGGAAAGACTAGAGACCAAGGGATATAAAACAGGAGAGAAAGTCAGGTTTAACAGTTTCTTTTGGTCTTTCTATCATTTTGTGCTCTCTCTCTGTCTCTTTTTAAAAATGTACATCCTCCTTTAAGAAACCTCTGGGACAAAGCTAGTCTGAATTTTGATCTGCCTGTTCAATCTCTGAATCTCCTCTTCCACATATTTTAATGTACTATTATCATGTAATAACATGCAAAGACTCCACCATTAAAATGGTAAATATCTCCAGATCTGGCTCAGTTTGACCTATAACATGTTACCACATATAGAAATCTCTGAAGTTGAGGATATTGTTAAAATTTGAACATAGTAGTTCCCAGTATACAAATTATTCAGAGCCAAACATGAGCCCTACATTAAAAAATATTTAGTTACTTTTAAGAAAACAGCATTCCTACAGTTTGTGTTGTAGGGAGATAAAGATTACTGTGTTTGGCACAAGGTCACACTTCTATGTGCAGGTGTAGATGTCCCCAGGGTTAATTATTCAGATTATTGGTAGATCTTAACATAGGTGGCTTTAGAGAAAGAGTTTTCTCATGTGAGAAAGAGCTTTTCTCTCCTGTGGGCTTTGTTGGAAGAATCCACATATTCCTCTTCAGATACCTGGAAACAAAATGGAAGAAGAATGTGGCTTTACTGTGTCAAATGGATAAAATAGTTTACTGTCATTGTATATTTATTTCCCTATTTTTATCAGCTGTTTGGTAAAGACTTCCAGCCCGGTCCTCTAGTTTGATGACTAAACCATTTGTCCCAGAGTGCTGGAGAAGCAGCTACCTCCTGCTCCTAGGCCAGATTCTGCCCCCTGACAACTTTAGAGGTAATGCTTTTAAAGGACTTAGGAGGGGGTCCTCCCAATTCTCCATAAGATTTTCACAGGCCAACAGGGGAATTCTAAGACTCCTTTCCTCCTCAGAGCCATCCTTCCTAGCTCTGTGCTCCATGGGTGATAGGGATGAAGGGAGGAGGACTGAAGTGACAGCTTAAAGTTGTTGACTGTCTAGAGGCTTAGAAATGTGTTAGTAATGAGTATGAGAAGGCCTCAACAGGTGGAGTACATGTATGGGTTCAGGTGTGTGAGGGCAGGTGGGGATGGGAGATACACAGGGCACAGTTTTGGACATTTGCACAGGTGGGAGGAATCGTTAGTTCTATGTTTTGATTATATAATATTTATTGAATGACACATTTTTAAGGCAAACATTGAGAGAGTTCAAACTCCAATCCGACAATTACATGGCTTAGTTCTTCAAAGGGAAAACCTATAGTGCCTACTCTGCCTCCACTGTAGCTCTTGGATTCTCCCTTTTATACCTCCCCTCGATGGGAAAACTCAAAAAAGACCTTTAGAAATTAGACTTTTTTCTCTGATCAGTGACAAAATATGCTTCTTTATCACCCTACCACTCCTCACCCACAGTGTGCAGCTGACCTTTATGTATGTATTCTCCAAACTCAGCCAGGGCTGTGAAGTTGGATTCTTCATGGCTGAAAGACACTGTGGGAATCTGGATAGCACCTGTCAGAGTTAAACAGACAAAGAGGAAATATTACAGTTGTTTTGATTTTACTTTTATTTCTAACAGTACCAGGAATGCTTTACCACTGAGGCAAATCCCAGTTCTTATTTTAAGACAGAGTCTTACTAACTAAGGCCTCGAATCTGCAACCTTTCTGCCTCAGTCTCCTGAGTTGCTGGGATTACAGGCATGTGCCACCTCATCTGGTTTAAAAAGTTCTTTTGCATTCATTATCTTATTGCAGAGGGCAAAACAATTTTGGGGGCCATCATTATTTTCCCTAATTAGAAGATGAGGAAACAAGTTTAGCAAGGTTAAGTGAGCTGCCAGAGATTGCCCAGAAACAAAGAGCAGAACCAGAATTTAAAAGAAGTCCTTCTGAGTTTTTTTAAACTAATTCTTTAAGGAAAATAAAGGCAGTAGATTTTGAACTCTGATCCTGAGTAGAAAGTGACTACATATTGCTTCCTAAGGCCTCACTCTGCCTATTAAATCATCACTCCCTCTGATAAATCTAGGTTTTATCAGTCTCAAGTCTTTGCTCACTGTCCTGGGACCCTAAATCAATGAGGCTTGTATGCTCGTCTGCGTAGAGGGCAGATTGTTCCTCATGGACTGGCTCATCCAGAGTTTCACTGACCTTTCAACCAAGCCAACATTGGGGCACAAGATGCCTGGGGAAATAAGGATTAAGATGCTCCTAAACAGGTTCATCAGTCCTTAGTTTCATCCTCCCTATGCAGGTTTCAGTTCCTGACTTGTCATGAAGCTCATCCCTTTAAATCTTAAAGTCTTTAAAGACTGAAAGGATTCTATTGTCAAATGTAAACACCACTGGGGGGGGGGGTGAACACAATGAGTCATGATGACATTTGATTAGAAAGGCACCTGAGAACACTGTTCAGACACATTCACTTGGGGATGCCTCTGAGCGACAAATGGACTTCTATGTTCAATTTTGCTAAGGATCATCCCTATAACATTATAGCCTGCCACATAGATGGGAAATTCAACGTTCAAAAACATTAAAACTGTCTACCCAAGAGCAGACGGAAGCTCAGAACTCAGGTGTTTTGCACCCTGCTGAGAGTTCTAAGACACATTGCTATGAGGTCACTTCTCTAGGTTTATCTATCTATCTATCTATCTATCTGTCTATCTATTTATTTTCTTCTGGGTGTGTGCTACTGGGGATTGAACCCAGTAGTGCTCAGCCTCTGAGCCACATTCTCAGACATTTTTTAAAATTTTATTTTGAGACAGGGTCTCACTAAATTGCTCAGGCAGGCCTGGAACTTGTGATTTTCCTGCTCCAGTCTCCTGAGTAGCTGGATTACAGGTGTGTACCACCCGTCAGGTCCTACCTTAGGTTCTTATGTAAACATTTGCTTTCTCCAGTGCAAAGAGACTCTGAGCAACTGCCTGCTGACTTTCAAAGGACTATTTATACTCTGCTTAGGGAAAGCCCTCTCTACCTCCCAGGCCTATCACTCCAGCATGTGCACAATCCATCTCCAAACATAGGGGTTAGCATTTGTTCCCTGGATCTGCCTGCACATGTTTATGTAGGCAGTTTCTTTTAATCCACTACTTAATGAAAGGGAAAAGACTAGAGTGAAGCCCCCTGGGAGGAAGGATCTCATTATCCCACAGGATCTAGCACTCAACAGAAAGTTTCCTCTTTTCACCTGGAAAACAGAGATTTAAATGAATGAGTTGTCAGCATTGTTAGGTTCTTCTATTAGAAAAGGGAATTGGGAACATCCCACACCTCAGGAACATTCTATAACCCCGAGAGCAATCTGGAACCCAGTGAATACTCCTGGATATTAGATGTTGACACCCAGTGACCATTCCTTGTTGTGGGACCATGGAGAAGGTCACTTGATCTATGCTTCAATTCCTTTTCTCTGGAGACAATACAGAGTCATTTAGTCTTATTTTAAGACACCACAAGGATTTAACAGATGTGAAATTTTCCAAAGGCTGAAAGTGCTGTTCAAACAAAAGCTGTCGGAACACTGGAGACTGTGTAGGGTGGGAGGAGGACATGACAAGAGGAGCGAAGGTGGAGCCTCCAGGCGAGACAGGGAACACCAAAGTCACAGAAACCAGGTCAAGGGGGAGAGTAGCGAACTCCAGGTCAGGGCATGGTGTGCTGGGACCTGGCTGGGTATGGGGAGGAGCTCCGACTTGAGCAGCGGCCCTTCTGCCGAGGGAAACGGGAGTCACGGGTTGACCGGAGAACCGCGGGACTCAAGTTGGTGAAGGGGACCCAGGTTCACCTTTCAGCGCCTCTTTCATAGCGACGAGCTCCTCTTCGCTGAACTCAGAAGGTATTCGCGACGCCCCCTGAAACTCCCTGCCCTTCAGGCCATTGGATCTGGAGACAATGGCAAAAACTAGCAGCAACACAGCCGCCAGGGCCACCACGCAAACATTACACCGAGCCATGCTTCTCTGGAGTCTCTGCTATCTGTCGCCCGCCGCCGAAGTTTGGACCTAAACGCCCAGATCTCCTGCCTGGTTCTGTCACTGCTCCAATTCTCGCTATCTGAATTAGCTCCACCCCATTCCCAGATATGACCAATCATCGCTTGGTTTGGGCTGCGGAACAACCAATCGACGCAAAGACTCCGCCCCAGTCCCCGCAAGGCCTTTTGGGGGTTGTGGTTTCTCGTCCAGTAGCAGGTTACTGAAGGGCGGAGGTGAGATAGGGCTCCAGATGAGGGTAAAGGTCTTGGTGGCGCTTGGCTTTTCTGCTTTGAGACACTAGTAAATGCCTTGCCGTGTGACGGCAAATCAATTTTTAAAAAAAAATTTTTATTTTTGGTGGGGGGAGGGTACTGGGGATTGAATTCTGAGGGGCTCAAGTACTAAGCCACATCCCCAGCCCTACAAAATGTATTTTATTTAGGTCTCACTGTGTTGCTTAGCGCCTCGCCATTGCTGAGGCTAGCTTTAAACTCGCGATCCTCCTGTCTCAGCCTCCTGGGCCGCTGGGATTACAGGCCTGTGCCCCTGCGCCCGGCTGCAAATCCAAATTAAAGCCGGGAGAAAGCAAAGTAAGATGAACAAAGCTTACCAGACCGTACTATGGTGTTTGGCTTCTTCTGAAGTTTACAAAAACTCATTCCCTAGGTTCTGTGGGGGAGCTCTGCGGGTTCCGGACTTGATTTCATCTGAAATTGGAAGATAATCTCTCTGTTTATATATAATGCTTTGAAATACCATTTAGGGGGGAAAGTGACACACTTCTGCAATCTGGAGGCAGAGGCAGGAGGACTGCAAGGTCAAGGCTAGCCTCAGCAACTTAGTGTGACAGTAAGGGGGTGGGGGGGGGGGGGGAAAAAAGAAAAAAAAAATGCCAGTTTACCAGCTTAGCGGGTTTGCTTCTATTCAGGTATTTCTTGAAAGTTTGGTTTTTGTTTTTGTACTAGGGATTGAACCCAGGGGTGCTTTACCACTGAGCTAAGTCTCCAGCCCTTTTTATTTTTATATTTTGAGAGAGCATCTCACTAAATTGCTGAGGGTCTTGCTAAATTGCTGAGGCTGGCGTTGAATTTCCAATCATCCTACCTCAGCCTCCCCGTTGCTGGGATTACAGGTAAGTTCCACTTGCCCAAATTAATTTAAAGTATCCTAATATTAATGTTAATAGTGCTTTTTGCCACTCTAGGCAAGTTACACTAAGACTGTTGGTTTGTGTAGAGGAGAATGAGGGGAGGGGTTGGGCAGGGCAGAAGAAAGAGACAGACATTATTACCCTATATATATGTGTGATTACACTACTGGAGTGACTCTGCACCATGTACCAGAGGAATGAGAAGTTGTGCTCCATTTGTGTACAATATGTCAAAATGCATTCTACTGTAAAAAAAAAATAAATTTAAAAAAGAAAAAAAATATCTTTTGCCCTTTTGTTATGAGATGTTTATTGACTTTTAGGAATCAATATACTAGAGTGGGAAGTTATATTTACATGTCATTTGCAGGAAAATGGGTAGAGGTTAAACAAGCCAAACTCAGAAAGTCGATTTGAATGTTTTCTCTCTTATGTGAAAGCTAGAGTGGAAAAAGGAAAAGAGGTGAGGGAATGGTTTCATGAAAATTGAAGGGAGATCCGTAGAGTTAGAGAAAGGGGACCTGGTGAAGGAACTACTGGAGAATGATATTGGCCAAATTATATTGTTATATATTATATTTTTATAATTGTATTATTGATTTCCCTTTGATATAAATATCAGTTTTTTTTTATTCATTCATCTGTTGGTGGATTCCTAGGCTGGTTCCATGGGTTGGCTATTATGAATTTGTGAATGGCGCTGCTATAAACATGGGTATACATGTTTATATCACCATAGTATTATGACTTTTATTCTTTAGGATAAATACTGAGGAGTGGCATATTGGGGTCATATGATGGTTCTACTCCTGATCTTTTGAGAAACCGCTATACTGATTTCTATAGTGGTTGTACTAATTTACCATCTCACTAACAGTGTAAAAGTGTTCTTTTTCTTTGCATCCTTTCCAGCGTTTATTATTGTGTGTATTTTGTGTGTGTGTGTGTGTGTGGGGCAGGTACTGGAGATTGAATCCAGGGGTATTTAACCACTGAGACACATCCCAGTCCTTTTAATTTTTTAAAATTTTATTTTGAGACAGGATCTCACTAAGTTGCTGTGTTAAGTTGCTGAGGTTGGTTTTGAACTCGTGATCCTCCTGCCTCGGCCTCCTGAGTTGTTGGGATTGCAGATGTGAACTACTGAACCTGGCTTATTATGTGTATTCTTGTCGGAGTCCAGCTCCAACAGGGGGTCTCAGGAGACTAACGGATGGTGAGGAGTCGGCGAAAAGGGGGTGGAGAAACAACACAGACACCAAAGTGAAGGTGTTGATCCCAATCTTTACTTGTGTAGTTGATCATATATACTTTTCATTTTTGCAGGCTCACAGTACTTTGTGGTTACAAAACAGGAATCATTATTCAAAGAAACAAAATATTAGGTAGCTACAATTAGAATAGAAGAATGTATCTTGGCTTATGCATAAGCAAGCATTTTTCCTTTCAGTTCGTGTTTTGCTTTGAGCTGTTTCTGCTTAGTTAACTTCTAATAATAGTTAGAAATGTCCCAGACTATTGGCCTATACCTTGACTATTCTTTCTTGACTTACTGACTAGAACCGGTGCCATGGTTACGGCAAGTGGTTAACTTGTTATTAATTTTAATCAAACAAGAGTAAGAGCACAGACCATTGTGCACAGGAACAAGAACAAGTTGCCCAGTACTAAGCACTAATCTGTCTTCTTAACATTAATTCTTCTTCTCTAGATTTTAATTTAATTTCTCAAAAACTTCCTTGACAGGAATACAGGGAGTTTCTCATCAGACATTAACAATTTACACTCCACAGCTGAATCATTGCATTTAGAGCAAACAGATCTTAGAAGTAGTTGCATTAATTGGGAAAGTCATGTTTTTTCCTTCATACTTAATGGTCATATGAGAAATCGCAACTATACTTATTAAAGGAATACAAAAACAAATCAGCCCATTCCCAGAAACATACTGCGCTCCTCCAGAGGATGGACGCCTTGCGCCATCCACCTCAGTAGGGCCTTGCCATTGCCTGAGTCAGGGGAGGGGAGCAGCAGATTCTTGATGGCTGCCGTTCTCATTGGAGCGAGGTAAACTCTCAGTATTGTTTCGATTTGTATCTCTCTAGTTGCTAACAGTGTTCAACAATTTTTTTCGTGTATTTGTTGGCCATCTGTATTCTTTTGAGAAGTGTCTGTCTAGTTCATTTGCCCCTTTATTAACTGGGTCAACATGCTATCTTAAAAGTATTAAACTTTCACCTTTTATATTAATGTCCTTTTTCCATCTGGAATTAAATTTTTATATGTGGCATGAGGTCAGGCTCCAATTTATTATTTTTTTCCAACTAGATGATAACCCATTTTCCCATTCATTTAACAGTTTGTTCTTTCCCAGTGATTTGCAATGCCTACTCTATAATTAATTAGTTTTCATATTTAAGTGGGTCCATTATTGGGCTAATTATTTCACTGATTATTTTGTTCATTACTGTGTTACTGTGACTATCTTAACTACTATAAGCTTTAAAATATGTTTCAATATCTTGATAAAGCATGCTACTTATGAAATTGGTTACTGTAGTAATACAAATTACATTAATAAGTTTAAAAAATGTGAACCACAGTTATGTTCCTGGAATAAACTACACTGGATAAACCTACTGCTGGATTCTTTTTAGGATTTTTACAATTTTTCTTATGAGCTTCATTTGGCCTATAATTTTTCTTTTTTGTAACATTCTTGTTTGGCTTTAGCATTGAGTGTTTGGTAGCCTCAGAAATCTAATTAAAGAACACAGTGGAGATTTTGATCTGCTCTCAATATTCATCCTCCCTCATTTCTAAGCAACAAGAATCCTGAGTTTCAGCTCAGCATGATTAGCCACATTTCTCAGACCCTTGTGTCTGCTGGGGTTTGCAATATGACTATATTTGGAGAATGAGAGATGAGCGGAAGTGTGGTATATGATTGAGAGCATGTCTCTGAGGATACACTCTTTTTATTTACTTTATTTTATTTGATTTTAAATATTTATTTTCTAGTTGTAACTGGACACAATATCTTTATTTTATTTATTTATTTTTATGTGGTGCTGAGGATTGAACCCAGGGCCTCGCACGTGCTAGACGAGTGCTCTACCGCTGAGCTACAACCCCAGTCCCTCTTTTTAATTTTATTTATGTCCAGTGTTGGGGAGGGAACCCACGCCTCGTGCATGACAGGCAAATGCTCTACCTTGATGCACTCTTTAAAAATCCTTTTCTCTACTCTCAGCTGTACTGACTGCAGCTCTAGCAGCTGTGTTGGACCGTGATGACATGGTCCACTCAGGGGCAAGGCAAGAGGTGAGCTAGAAGAAGCCCGAGTCCTTGAAGGCTTCCTGCACTAGCTGTACCAGCTCTGGACCCTCTACTTCTGGATTGTTTTAACACAGAGAGAAATTTCTACCACACTTAAACTACTAAAAAGGAGTAACTTTCCTCCATTTTCCTTTCTTTTGGTTTGCATTTTCTGGAAGAGTCTGTATAAAGTTCGAACAAAATTCTAATATATTTTTCTTTTTAAAAAATATTTTTTTTAGTTGTAGATGGACACAATACCTGTATTTAATTCATGTATTTTTATGTGGTGCTAAAGATTGAACCCAGTTCTTCACGCATGCAAGGCAAGCTCTCCACCACTGAGCCACAACCCAGTGCTCTAATGTATTTTTCTAATACACTCTACAAATAAAATCACCCGAAGTTAATCTGGGATTCCATTTAATGGTTATAGAACTTTTCAGGCTTTTGATTATTTTTTTAAATTCCATTTTGGGAAGTTATACTTTACTAGCCATTTATTCATTTCATCTAAATTTTTCATTTGTAGTTAAAA